CTAACCATTGACGTTAAAAAGAGAACAAAAATGAAACAGTTAATGGAAAATCGATTTACACAGATTTCTACTGGGTGCTGCCATTAGTGCTTCTTCTTTGCATGCTTTGATGGAGACTTGTCTTCTGCTGTGGTTGCCATCTGCTGCTTCTTCTGATCCTCTGAATCTGCGTTGCTGACTATCTCTATCGGCACTTCTCGTTCACGGTTCGCCTCTTCTATAACCACATTTGGCGCCTCGATGGTCAATACACCTTGCTGGCTCAGTCTCGAAGTAACTGCCTGCGGATCGGCTGTTTTCGGCAACATGTACTTACGCACAAATGAACGGCTGATTAGGCCGTGCTCATCCTTGTGCTCTTTCTGATGTGCCTCGATGATCAACATGTTCACGGTGGTTTTCACCTGGAACAAGAAAAACAATTAATGGAAGTTCACTGGTTAAGCAGAAACGTTAAAACTACACTCAACAAACAAGCGAGAAAATTATACAAAAAACTTAGCACAGAAAATGTAACTTTAATCCTCGGCCAAAATTAAACATGTAAAATTCCCAATTTGTAGTTTAGAACGAGGATATTACCAGCTGTAGATCGAATAAAACTACGGCAAATGGACCATCATTTCAATATAATAGAAAAGAATGACTACAGGGAGTACAACAGCGCAGTTAGAGCGGATAACGAGGACAAAATGGCAGTACAATTTAAGAAATAATTACATACATTTCGAAGCGCATGCATCTTCTGCGAAACAACATATCAGAAAAAACAGCTGTTTCACTTGAAAAATCGCCAAAAAACGCTGCCCCCAGCCCACTAGCTTCTAATGTAGGATTCGAAACAGCATAAGCATCGTCCTAGAATGTCATCATGCAACACTGATGAACAAGAAAAATGTAGGCCTGTGTTTGGAGAAGAATCAGTCGTGCCGTGGCGTTTTAACAGCTGTTTTACAGTAAAAGCAGTGACATCGAAGAACGAGAGATGTTCTGCTGAGGCAAACGGTTCAGAGCGATGATCAAACCAAGCAAAATACACAAGATTTCCTAAGAAAGTCATCGGTTAGCAACAAGAGTACCTTCTTTCCCTATATCAGTCAAAAATTATAGGTCTCGTAAAAAGTGTAAACCTAGGAACTACTGAGAGCAGATTCAATAGCCATCCCGCTGCAATGATTGAATGTTCAGCAGGATGGCATATTCAAAAGTCTCTCGGTTCTATGCAAAGAAAACTAAATATCTTTTGTCAACATATCTATGGTTTTTAGTAAAATTAGTAAAATACTTGCTACAGAATATAATTTTTTGTAAGTCTTATTTCCCTGACTGAACTTTAAGGCAACAAGTTATTAACACGATGGAAATTCCTTGAATTACCAATATCTTTCAATACCATACATCGGTGTCACCATTAAAAAAATAAACGATAAATAATTCTTTGTTTAGTAATGTATTCTTCCATGTATGCACATTATTAAAGCGGAACGACGGACTGAAGTACGACTTTCAGTCTAGTTCCAAGGTGACATGGAGTTACCGTTTAAAATTTCACTCCTCTTCGCTTGCAACACGTAATCCCTTGAACGTCCCTTCTTACATGAGTCGCTAATACGTATATCGTTTTCCCTGATTCACGCGGCATAGCCCAGCAGTTGCATTTGTCATCTAAGCGACGGCCCCAAAAAATTATAGTGTTTGCAGATGGAAAGCATGAACACAAAACAGCTTCATCGTTGGGGAACAACACCTGATGAACTCGATCCGCAAAAACATATGTAAACAGAATTCATGATTATTACTATGGACAAATCATCTAACAGATCCTCCACATAAAAAATTTAACTGAACAAAATCGAAGAATGAAACGATCTTTCAGATGATCGACCTGAGAATGCTGTCTGAAGAATTCATGAACAGGCTTCTGTCGCGGTTTGACAGAACCATCCGAAAAGGAAATTAAGACCTGTCCAAAACACTTTCTTATAGGAAGCAAAGAATGCCGCAAGATGCATCGGGGACCAATATCGCACGTTAAAGCATCTGCTAGAAGTGAATATGACCTTTGTCAGAGCAACAAACTAATTTATTAAACTATTTACTAAACTAATTTATTCTGTGAAGCCAAAGCGTCAGAAATTATAAATCTGGTTAATCGATCTTTGTCCCTGATACCTCAGATGACGATAACAAACTATCAAAGGAAAAGAACGAAGACAGGAATAAAAATCAAGAAAATAGCTTTGGTCTTTCAAGCAACGATGCCGCCTACCTTTAATTCGTCGGGCTTGAACTGGGAGACGTCCAGCTTGACCGTAAACTTCTCCTTGTCGTTCCTCACCTCAGACCAGCCGGTTACTTTCCCCCTCTCCTCGCTGTGGCGGCGCTTCGGTCGACGATGGTATGGCGTATGCTCAATCATTCGTTCCCATGGGTCGACGTCTAGCAGGTCCGACGGCAAAACCTCATGAGCGAAGTTCTGGTCAAACAGCTGACTAAACTCTGGCCAGAGCCAGTCGTCGCTTCCGCGCCAAAATGGGTGTACAAAAGGTCTCATTCCAAACATGACGAATATCTGTGAACATGACACGTCAACGAACAAAAACGTTATGCATTTTGAATTGTTTACTTTCCTCCGTTAGTCAGTTCCGCTCAGCTCTGATTCTACACAACAAAAACTGCGACAATTCCCTGAACTGCGAGACGCGAAGACCCCTTCCAAAATATACGACGCTAAAAGTGGCGCGAAAATTTCAGCCGGTTCTAGAAAGTTATACAGTAAAATAAACCTGAAAATCATGCTTCATATAAATTACTTCCTGTAAAAATTATGAAACGAAAATTTAATAGTAAGTGCCTTTCAAAAGACAATTTCAGATAGATCTAGGTAATAGCGTTTCGATGAAAGTTTAAAAATATTAATGCGCTATTTTTCTGTCAATTCTTCGGATTTACGCGGCGTAGATCACCTTAACCTTTCTCATATTAGTCTGTGGGTCTGTCAAGAAGGTCATTACTCGATCGTATTTTAGCATTGCAGCAAATGGACGCGAACCATCACCGCTTTCTGGATTATCTGCTACGTTGTTCAAGTTTAGAAGAGTATTAAAGAAATAATGTTCTAACCAGCGGTATCTAAAACTAGCAGTTTGCCAACAAATTTATAATAACAGTGTTTATTTGAACAGATTTATTTCATTTCATTGTTTAAATGGTTTTATTCAGATTCAAAAACGATGATTTGATGAATTATTCTCGATGATCGTTTGAGAATTTATTTTTGAGATGTTTGAGTTATTATGCGTAGTTCTCTAGTGTTCTATTCCCGCCCTCTGAGCTAAATGGGCTGCACAACTTTTGTCTGACGATATTTATTATATTACTAAATACTTTTCTCTATTACTTTAGATTTTATATGCTCTGAATATCAACCTAGGGGCGCAGGGCTGGAGAGGGTGGATGGCAGCTAAAATGTTGAGATTTTTGATATGCTGCAAAATCAGGCGGTATGAAATTCTGAAACTCATTCTTAAATGATATGTCTCACAAACAGACCTGAGCAATGGATCTTGTCATTTAGGTAATC